ATGGTTTTACCATTTTTGAATCCATTCAGTCGATTTTTTGATTTTTAGAAGACTATCAGTAACCAGACAGTTTCTGGTCTCATTGACTTCCATAGTAGGAAAAAATAGACTATGGAAGTCAATGAGACCAGAAACTGTCTGGTTACTGATATTCTTCTAAAAAAAGAAAATCGGCTGAATGGATTAGAAAACGGTAAAACCTCAACTGTTTAACTCTGGGGGAGTTGTAAAATTAACCTATTTCCAAAAAAAAGTGGAGTATCCCTTTAAGTAGGGTTGGCGTTAAGTTTAACTTGACATAAACTGCAAACCTCAAATCTGATTGGTTAATAGGAATGTTGTTCCAGGAGCAACAAAGATGTTGCACTTGATGGGATCAGGTTCTAATACATAGCAACACAACTAGAAAGTGATGCAATATTCAGTCAGCCACTAGAGGAAGCCATTACTTTGAAAGCACACTGCTCAATTCCATCCAATGGTTTAGTTTCAATGGATGCATGCGCACAACAAAAGTTACCTGCATGCTCAAGTCATCATAAATTACCATAACATTTAGGGCGTGTTACAGTTAGGAAGGTTTGGTGGTGATATAAGGAAAAGCCGAAGCACTCTGAACACAGTTAACAGCATAGGCCAGAGCAGACTGCAGTGAAGCGCATACCTTCAGCTTAGACTGAATCTCGCGAGATTTTCTCCGCGCAAGAACCTGCAGATGGCTAGACACCTGCAGGAAGGAAGTCAGAGGAGGGAGAAAGGAAGGCAGGGGAAAAAAAGAAAAGAGAGACATTGAACAGACAGTGAGTAAAAAAGAAGCCACCAGGTGGCGCCACAGCCATACCTTAATGCCTGTTTGATATTCCCGCATTTTCTTCCTGGCTAACACCTGTATGTGACTAGACACCTGAGGCAAAACAGGGCCACAGACATTTGATATCATCCAACATATTCGGTATATTTTAACAACAAGTGGGGTATTAAAGTTGCACTATGTAATTTGTCCAAGAATACAATTTTGCCAAACATGTTTAAATTTAACTCACATGAGTCATATTTAATAACAGTAAAAAATAACAAATGAATCGTGAGACAAACACACTTGAACAGTGTGATGGGGGAAAAAAAAAAATCTCACAAATTCCACAAGTACTTAGTAGCACCAATAGATGGCAGTATAGAGTTTGCAGTTATTTAAAACAGCTAAACAAAAATTCATATAAAAAAATATTTTTAAAATATCATATTCGGTATATGTTAACAACAATGGTTTCTATTCATAGTGGGATATTAAAGTTGCACTATGTAATTTGTCCAAGCATACAATTTTGCCAAACATGTTTAAATTTAACTCACATGAGTCATATTTAATAACAGTAAAAACTAATAAATTAATCGTGAGACAAACACACTTGAACAGTGTGATGGGGGGAAAAAAAATCTCACAAATTCCACAAGTACTTAGTAGCACCAACAGATGGCAGTATAGAGTTTGCAGTTATTTAAATCAGCTAAACAAAAATTAATATAATTTTTTTTTTTTTTTAAATATCAAATTTAAGTACTATCTCGAACAAGGTGCAGGGAGACACTGTAGTTTAATCAAAACATGGATAACAGAAATACATTGTCTAGCATTGCTGAAAAAAGACTGAATTAATGACTGTATCAATTACAGGTATCATGATCTACGGTTAGAATATGGTCATAACCTTTGTTGTATTCATTCAAACAAGTGGTTCTAGAAACACTATCACATTACCTGTTTCCGTGTGCGGGTTTTCCCTGTCCGCAGCTTTATGTACCTTGCTATCAACTCATTACGACCTGGAAAAAATCAATAAGAAACACAATATTAGCAAATATCGTGTCAAATGAATCATACTGAATTATGTAAATGAACATATATGAACATCTAGAACACAATAAAGTGCATTTTATTACATGTTAAGAAATAGCTTTCGGCTGGAAGAGCTCTACCACCACAAGGTCATGGGTTCGAATCCCAGGGAAAACATTAACTGACAAATGTATCATGTAAATTAATGACTAATGATAAAAACGACTCCATAAAATATTTTTTTTCTCTTCACATATGTAATTTAATTTGTTCCCCTGCCTCCTAAACACAGAAAAGCACATGGAATGCAGTAATGCCTCCACCAGCAATATCACAGTAGGGTGTAAAGCCTCCTATGAGACCATTAGTTTATTAATAGACCATTGAAAGACAAGGCTTGTGACAGATGAGTCAGGTGATATGGGTGGTGACTTGGCAAAAAGCAAAAAAGAAAAAAATAGGGCCACCATGTGTCAGGGCCTTGACCAATCAAGCTGCTCTGAGTGGACAAATGTTTTCATACAAAGAGCTATTTATTAAATGAGTGCAATAATAAATCTGTTAAAATAATGATATGAGAAAAGGGACACAAAAGGGAAACCAGGAAGATAACTTGAGGTAAAGCGATAAAGAGGATTTCATCACAGTTTATAAAGGGTTGACCTTGTGAACAGCTGTGAATCTTTCTTGACACCCCCACCCTCCTCCCACTGGCATCCCACTCACTGACAGCCGGACCACCTGGACCCAACACAGGAAACCCTGCACCCTAAACGCCAGCCATATAACACCAGGGACTCATATGCTAGCATGTCACCAGCAAACAACATGTTTAGACATTGTGAATGTGCAAACAAATAGAGAGATTTGTGATAAGTCAAGCCAAATATAAATTAAGTATCCTGTTCCTCTACATGGGACAGAAGAATTCAGGAAAAAGATCCATTATTTGTGGTAATAGACTGGCACTAACAATAATCACAAAGATTTGAAAAGAAGTTTCAATCAAACTCCTCTTTTCATTGGTCATATAGAATGGATAGTCCCACCCCAATCTCATGCCATTGGTTGAGCCAATGTTGTTAGAACGGCGCAAGGTAGGACTCTCAATAAATAGACCTTTATGTATTTTAGGGGGCTTTCACACTGGCAGTTTAGGTCAAAATAGAAACATGAAAGATTGGCAATGTGAAAGCTGTCATTTGGACACCTGAGCGCACCGGGCGACCAAACTGTGAACTGTGGCGAGATTCACGTAAATGTGAAAGCAACTCCGACTCGGGCATGCACTCGTTCGGGAAATAAAACAAGATGTGCATGCATTTTAGCCGAAGATGTGCAGCCAAAACACAAGTAGGGGATGACAATGGTGATGAGTTACTGAGGATATGAGCAAGAGTGAGAATACAGTGTTGTCATGCAGAGTAAGTGCAATCCGCATCAAATGAATGGTTCACAGTTAGTTTTCTCCTCTAAAGCAGCGGAAAGCCGCCTTCAATGTGACGCACAGTGTCGTTCACTCTGTGACAAGTGTTGTACTGCATTTAACTGCATAAAAAAAATAACAAATCACATTATATTGACCCGAGTTCTGTTTTCTACGGTGACGCATTGCTGCCACATACATATTATTTTGTCCCCTCAATTACGTCGTAACAATGAGATCTTATGTCGTTAAAATGACATATTTTCTCGTTTTAATGACAAAATATCTCGTTTTAACGAAATAATGTCTCATTATAACGACATATCTCGTTTGAACGACATAAATATCTCGTTTTAACAACATAAATATCTTGTTATAACGACATAAATATCTCATTATTTCGATATAAACACCTCGTTATTTCGACATAATTATGGGACATTGTAATATGCATTAAGCTACATTTAACGTTCTTATAATGAGTTTCTATGGGAGGAAAATGCCTAACATCAAATTAAACGCTTTTGCGTTCATATTCTTGACTTATCTGATTTTTGTAGTGTACTTTATAATGATTTTAGTATCATATTGATTAATAAATGCATGCACAATTATCTGTGAACTTGATAAATGTATGTTTTTATTAGGCAACTATATCCACAAATTGCTTTCAGTTGTGTGCGCAAAATTCAGAATTCAATGAATGTGCAGTGATAGAGACATGTTCGTGTATAAAATACATTTGTTTTATTATGTATTAGTGATTTAGCATCATTAGCTCAGAATATAAACTCACCACGTTTAATTACACGTTAAGCAAATTGCGAATACACTCAAATGAGATCGACTCAGACGTCAATAAATGGACGCGCAAATTATAATCACTAATACAAAATAAAACAAATGTATTCGAATGTAATTCGTAGGAGTTTCTATGGGAGGAAAATGCTTAATGTCAAATTGAACGCTTTGCGTTCATATTCTGGACTTATCTGATTTTTGTGGTATACTTTATTATGATTAAAGGTTCACGGATAATTGTGCGTGCAATATGATACTAAAATCATAATAAAATAGGCTATACTAACACAGTCTCATCCCAAGACGTCATATAACTGACGTCTTGGGACGTCTTTTGACCATACGTCAACATCCGCCGTTTTAGGTTACCCTTTAACGTAGGGGTGTGCAAAAAAATCGATTCACATTTGAATCGCGATTCAATCTTTACCGATTCAGAATCGATTCATAGAATTCCAAAAATCGATTCATATAGGCTATATTTTTTAATGGCGTGCAGGGGCGGAGTGGCAATCGGGTAAGTCGGGACTTTTACCGGTGGTCCGGTAGTGTTTCTATGGTTTCGAGGCTGCGAGGGCCGGTCTGATAAATAGTTATTGCAAGTTCTTGCCGCCCGCTGGTCAAACTGTGCAGCCACTCTGCTCAACCCGTAAATAAATGCATCGATCCGCAGATCTTATGTTTGAGTTCTGTAGATCTTTTGCCAAGCGTGTCAGAGGTGACGGGTTCTAATCCGCACTCGTATAGTTTTTTCTCTCTCTCATCAAAACCGAATATGTTCATCACGTTTGTGTGCATTTTATTTTGTGATTTCACCGGAGTCTCCACAACGGCGATAGATTGAAGCGCGCGTCCGAGAAGACTGCGCGAGCCACAGAGAACACTGTATCCATGACACTGATCGCAGCGGACACGAGCGCTCAGCTTGATTTCAAAAACAACAGGTCTCTTATTTAATAGCGAACTAAATAAATGCTCTGCTAGTTAACTGGAGATACCCGCAAATTACAGCGCCTATAAACGACTTCACTGGATCTAAACAAATCAATCTAACCATAGATGTTACCAGTAGCGGTGGCTTTTTTAAATCTATTTAAAATATTTTCGCAAGGGTTCTATTAAAATTAGTATTTTTAGGAAGTTCAATGTGCCCTGTCGAGTTCACATTTCAACAGTCAACCTGGTAGCTGAAGTAGGCCTACTCCTTAAACCACATTTAGCATAATTGTTTGTTTGATCTGACTATAGCACTTTAAAGCTAAATGTAAAAGCTTTTTATTTAAGTTTTATTTTAAACTTGAATTAAATGTATTTAAAAGCTGGCCAAAGCTTAATTGGCACTTCGCACATTTTAGTTGCAAAAGTTTTTATTTTTGTATGAAGACATATAAAGTAATATCAAACTTTTCTTTTAAATTATGTCTACTGCACTCAATCACATAGGAAAAAGTAAACTACATTTATGTAGACCTGCGAATCGTTTTTTGAATCGAGAATCGTTTTTGAATCGAAAATCGATTTTGAATCGAATCTCGAGACAAAAAATCGGTATCGAATCGAATCGTGACATTTTCTGAATCGTGCACCCCTACTTTAACGTCAGTTACATGACGATCCTGGGACGTCATACAACTGACGCTTTACCTTTAACGTTAGTTAGGTGACGGGGTAGGTTTAGGTCTGGGGTAGGGTTAGGATTCGATGACGTCATCTAAACGACGTTAAAGGGTACCCTAAAACGGCGGATGTTGACGTATGATCAAAATACGTCCCAAGACGTCAGTTATATAATGTCTTGGGATGAGACTGCGCTGGCTATACTACAAAAATCAGATAAGTCCAGAATATGAACGCAAAGCGTTTGACGTTAAGCATTTTCCTCCCATAGAAACTCGTTTTAAGAACGCTAAATGTAGCTTAATGCATATTACAATGTCACCTTATTATGTCGAAATAACGAGATATTTATGTTGAAATAACAAGATATTTATGTCGTTATAACAAGATATTTATGTCGTTAAAACGAGATATTTATGTCGTTAAAACGAGATATGTCGTTATAACGAGAAATGTATGCCATTAATATGAGATATGTCGTTAAAACAAGAAAATATGTCGTTTTAACGACATAAGATCTCATTATTACGACATAATTGAGGGAAAAATAATATGTATGTGGCAGCAATGCGTCACCGTAGTTTTCACGTTTGCACGTTTGTTATGGCGTAAGATTAACTCAAATGCACCAGGGTTCGATACAATCAATTGTGTGTGAAACCCCCTTAATACTCAACCCCCGGAATTTCTGCATTAAGGGGGTTTCCCCATAGTGGAAACCCCCTTAATGAAGAAATTACACACATCATGCATGCATATACCAGCAGCTCTCTACATATCAGCTTCAACTATTTAAATGCCAATATAGGTTGTACAGTGGTTCTGTAAAAGTTTGATTGGAGTAAGTGTGTGATGCCAAGATGATACGAGAGATGTCCAGTGTTTTGTCACACCAACCAGAACAAATTAGAGCCTCTCCAGTTTAATTTAATTATCCATTACTGATGAAATGACAACACAAGCGAATGTCAAAGAGGATTAGCCATTCAGACAGCCGGAGTAAGAGAGAATCAACCAGACAGCGATAGACAGAACATGTGTAAAAGAGAAGGCAAATATCTTCAGTTCCAGACACACAGAGGAGACTCTGATAGATAGAGAGACTCTGGCTCGTACCCAGCAGCCTTGAACTCCTGATCCACC